ACATGCACTAAACTGTGCATCATTTACTACTCCCTGTACAAAACTGCCCTGATGTGCTACATGCACTAAACTGTGCATCATGTACGACTCTCTGTACAAAACTGCCCTGATGTGCTACATGCACTAAACTGTGCATCATGTACGACTCTCTGTACAAAACTGCCCTGATGTGCTACATGCACTAAACTGTTCATCATGTACTACTCCCTGTTGTCCATCCGCAGGAAGAAGGGCAAGAAGGCGAAGACTCCCCTCGGCTGGAAGGCGTTCTTCACGATGCGGCGCACACCCGCCTCGCACAAGGACAAGTCGTCGCGGGGCAGCAAGTCGGAGACGCCCGAGCTGCGCGCTCCTCTCGCCGTCGCCGGCCTGCTGGAGACGCCGACGCGGCGCAAGAAGCTGCGCACGGTGAAGAGCGCCGAGTCGCTGCTGCCGACGGGCGCCATGGCAACGGGCGTCGTGGCGATGTGCACGCTGCACTCGGCGCCGAGCGACGATGAGGTGGATGCTGCGGACATTGCGCTGCTGGCCGCGGAGGGAATGAGCGCGGGCTCGTCGCTGCTGCACCCTGGTGAGTGTCGCCGTCGACAACGGTTACACATCCTTATTTGTTGATTCCTTGTCTCGGATTTATCGGTTGTTTATGATTTGGGTTCGTGCATCTGGGATAGATCACTCGATGTGATAACCAGGAATGCATATGTGTTAAAATCGTAGGCAAAAGCCCTGCATGTGTTAAAGGGTATCCAGTGAAAGCATTTGTGCTTAGACTGTGAAACGCACTAAACCAACTTGGTTAATGAATATCATAAATTTAATAAATTTACTCACCAAGGTTATCGCAAAATCAAACTAAGACAAATCCCGTGTCTTGGTTGTGCACTTGTAACTAGTACATATGCTATGCATGAGAATGAATCTCACTGTCGTACCATACCTAGCAACCGTGATAAATTGAGCATGCCCTCTTGACAACAAATGCTGTGTCTGTGAGTTCTGTCCGTGTAGGAAACCTTTGCGTTTCACAAAGTGCAAACCCAACCGAACCAGAATACGTTGCGGGGACGTTAACGTGACATCGCGCGTTGTCTTTCAGGCGATGGTTCGAGCGAGTCGCCGCGCATCATCAGCCCCGTGCGCACGACGTCGTTCGAGTCGTTCTTCGACGACCTCGACGACATCCAGGCCGTGTTCGCGACGTCGCTCGACCACCACCCCGCAGCTGCCGGCGCCACCTGCACGTCTGCTGCCGATGCGACGGCCGACGACAAGGAGAACGGCCACGCGCGGCATCACTCGGTCGGCTCTGCGTCGTCGTTCACGCGCATTCCTCAGGAGCGTGGCGTGGTCGCGTGCGGACGCCGCGCCGCGCTCATGGAGCGGCAGGCCGACGCCAACCGCTTCAACGTGTCGCTGATGTCGTCGACGACGACGACGCCCGCGCCGCGGCCCGAGAAGAAGTACGGCCACAAGCGCAAGGTGTCGGCGAGCTTCAAGGAGAAGTTCATGCAGGTGTTCGCTGCCAGCAGCTCCGAGGAGAAGGCGAAGGAGGGCGCCACCGCGGCGGCGGAGCAGGTGGAGCAGCGGGCGGGGCCGAGCCAGCCGTTCGCAAAGTCACCGAAGATCGACCCGGCGTCGAAGTCTCCGAAGACACAGACGGTGAAGGAGCGCATCCTGAAGGCGCTGTCACCGGACACGGCGCGCCGGAAACCGCCGCAGTCGCCCGCGCTTGCCCGCGGCAGCCCGCGCGATTTGCCGGGCCGCGGCGCGAGCGGCGGCGGCGGGCTGCGGCGCTCGTTCTCGAACGTCGAGATGTGCTCGACGCGGCAGTCGCCGGCAACACCCGAGGAGCTCATGTTCTACATGGACCTGAAGCTGACGCCGCCGCTGTGCAAGAGCGAGACACTCGGTCGCGACGCGACGCCGCGCAAGCTCGACGACGCGGCCGCCGCTGGGTTCGGCGGCGCCCGGCCGAAGATCCGCGACCTGCTGACCTCGTCGGGCGGTGGCGGAGGCTTGGGGTCGAGCAAGAAGCGTGCGGTCACGCGCGAGCGCAGCAACAGCGAGAGCGCGCGGCCGCAGCAGCCGGCGCGCGACGGCGGGCTCGCGTCGCCGCTGCGTGACGATCCCGTCTCGCCGCGCAGCCACAAGTCGTGGCGCTTCTACGAGGATGACAGCGGCGGCTTCCTCACCGTCGAGACGACGTTCCTCGAGCCGGCCGCGGGCGCGCGCGGCGAGTCGCCGCCGTCGCCGCCGCCGCCGAGCGACATCGTCAAGCCGGAGCTGAGCATGGAGCTGTGCCTCGACTTCAGCGACGACCGCTTCATCAACGCGAAGACCGTGTACTACGACGCGGCCGCCGACCGGCCCGCTGCCGCGCCGCTGCCGACGAGCGAGTTCATGCTGCCCTCCGAGAACAAGCTGTACAAGAGCGGCGGCGGCGGCGTGGGAGAGGCGGAGAGCACGAAGCGCTACACGTCGGACAGCGGCGTGTCGAACGAGGGCCTGAGCAGCGTGCGCTCGTCGCTGAGCAAGCGCAACACGGCCGACAGCACCGTGTCGAACGAGGCGCTGTCGCTGTTCCCCGAGCCGCCGCTCGCGTTCGGCTCGCGAGACCGACTCGTCATCTCGGAGAGCGGCGAGTACCTGTACTCGCCCGAGGCGGCGGACGAGACCCCGACTCCGTCGGCGGCGCGGTTGTCGTCAACGGCGTCGCCGAACTCGGTCGAGGTGAACATCTGCGAGGAGGAGAACTTTGACGTCGACAACTCGCCGCTGATGTCCGAGCTGCTGGAAGGGGAGGAGGAGGCCGGGGAGCCGGACAGCCTGTACTCCGGCGACGGCTGCGGCGGCGTGCTGCTGGCCGACGACCTGAGCCCCGAGGCGCCGCCGACCCCCGCCGGATTCATCGACTCCGGCTCTGACATGGACGACGATGAATTCTGCAGTGTCGACGGCGACGCGTCGCAGCGGTCGGACGGCGAGCGGCGGCCGCACCGGCGCAGCGAGCGGATGAGGTTGTTGTCGGGCGAGTACCGCTCGTCGGCAGAGTACGAGAACGCGGTCGCGTACGGAGCGGAGTACGAGAACGACGGCCTCGCGTTGAGCGTCAGCGACCACAACGACAGCTTCGGCAGTCTCGGCCGGGAGGCGGCGGCGGCGCACGCCGACAGCAGGCAGCGCATGATCGGCGCATTTCAGCTGGAGCAGCTGTCGCCGCCTCGCACCGTGTACTCGCCCGACACGCCGACGCCCGTCGCAGACGACTTTGGCATGCAGGCGGCGATCGCGTCGGACGCCCGCCCCGCGACCAACCGCGACTCCATCAACAGCTTCGGCAGCGACCACGTCGAAGGAGCGCAGTGCCAGCTGGCGGAGGACATCATAGAGGAAGTGCAGTGCCAGCTGGCGGGAGACATAGAGGACGTGCCGAACCAGCTCGCCGAGGGAATAAGGGAAGCACCATTCCAGCTCGCAGAGGGAATCGGGGAACCACCGTTCCAGCTCGCAGAGAGAGCAGAGGAAGTACCTTTCCAGCTCGCAGAGGGAACAGGGGAAGCACCATTCCAGCTCGCAGAGGGAACAGGGGAAGTACCTTTCCAGCTCGCAGAGGGAGCCGAGGAAGCACCGTTCGCAGATGACATAGAAGAAGCACAATGCCACTTGGCGGAGGACATCGTAGCGGAGGTGCAGTGCCACCTGGCGGAGGAGGACGTCGTCGTTGAGGAGACGTCGAGCGGCAGGGATGAGCAGGCGATGCAGATCTCGCAGGGTTCGTCGGTCATGTCGACGGACCTGTGCTGCGAGCTGCCGCGCGACCCCGCGGCGCCGTCGCCACGCGACCCCGCCCTGCCCTCGCCGCCCGGCAGCGACGACGCGCCGCAGTCGATGGAGATCTCCACGGAGTCTATGTCGCCGTGCGAGTCGGCCGGGCTGGCGTTCTCGCCGATCCGCGAGCTCACGTCGCCGCAGCAGCACGCGCCCGCGCCGTCGTCGTCCGCGGCGTTCACCGCGGCGGCGGGGGTCGCCGCCGAGGTTGTCGCGCCGGACTCGCAGAGCGACGCGTCGACGCCGACATCGGCGCCCCGCAGCGGCGACGCGTCCGACTCGGACACGACGGCGGCCGCGGCGGCCGTGTCGATCGAGGCGTTGCAGCCGGTGTCGGACTCCAGTCCCGACTGGGTGACGCCCGGCGCCGCCGACGATGCAGAGTTGCCGCCAATTCCGCTCGACACTCACCCTCTGAGTGGCGGGACTCGCGGCGAGCGATCGGAGAGCGGGGTCCTGTCCGCGGAGGAGGTCGTCACGACGGAGACGTATTTAGCGGCGACCGACGACCTGCTGTCGGCGCTCGCCCGCTACTCGCAATCTCCGATGCATTCTGCCGTTTCTAGTCGTCCAGCAGAGACCAGTAGCAATAGCGAGTCGAGCACTTTGCCGGCGGGCGAGATGGAAGACTCGTTTTCGAATCGCGGTCTACGGCGAGTCGAGCAGTTGGATGAGCTAGGCACCGAGTACGCGGTCGCTGCAGCACCAGTCGGCCCGGCTGCTGAAACTGCTAGCTGTGAGAAACGCGAGAGCCGTCGTAGTGCAGACTCGGCGAAACTACTCGGCGAGCAAGACGATCTAAGCGGTCGTGTTCCTGCTGACAAGCGCCCCTACAGCAACAAGTCGGCTGACGGAGGGATGTCGCAGAGTACGCCGTTGCGCGAGCCGGGCGCGTATTCCTATTTGAAAATGTCTAAAGCAGCCGCGGAACGGGAATCGGAAGAGGAGCCGTGCGTTCTCGACGACAGCACCGACTTCCAAGAGGTTACGTCTCTCTTGGAGAGCATCGACAAGACTCTGGACGGAACCCTGCAGAGGAGTGCGCAAGCTCCCATAGAGGTGGACTTGGCCGAGTTGAGAGATCGCGTGCCGCAGCTCGACAGCTTTGCTCAACGTTTTAGCAGTGAGAGACCGAGCAGCATCTTGTCCGACACCGAATCCCAGGAGCAGCGAGTGAGCGACGAGAGACAGTTCTCCGAGCAGCGGTTCAAGAAAGCTGCGGAGCGGGCGGGCGTGAGCGTCGAGCGAAAGAGCAGCGTCAAAGAGCTGCGGTCGCGATTTGAATCTCACGACGGCAGTCAGGAATCCTTACCGGGTAGCACGCTGAGAAAGAGACAAGACTCGACGTCGAGTACGGATTCTTATCGAGGCATGAGCGATTCGTTGGAGGGCAAGTCTGCATTCGCGGAGAGCACTGCTAGCACTGAAGCAAAGGCGGCGAGCGAATCGGACGTTGAAGACGTAGAGAGAACGTCAGGGTTCGGTGCAGTCATGGTTTACAAACCGATGCCTGCGACACCGCGGCTGTGCCCGCTCCGGCCAGTCACCGGAAGCAGGGATCCATCCCCTCAAGGTAAGCTCGGGAGGCCAGTCTTCCCGCAGCCGTCCGAGAGGAAAGATGCATCGGTGTCCCCTTCGTTTCGAGATAGAGAATCGCCGGATGCACGAGACGCGCTATCGAAATCGGTAACACACCCCGCGAAGGCGACGCTGTTCAGTCCGAAATCCAGGCGGACTCTGTCCGACGGAGGACTGACGCACGCGATAAAAGTCGCCATCCCGGACGACGGCGCGGCGACGCAGCAGCACCGCTCGAGGTTCTCCGCGCCGCCGGGATCGCTGTCGCCCGGTTCCCTGTCCGCATTCCAGCAGGGGACGGCCGTCGCGCGACATTCGCTCGGAGCGGCGACGGCGGCGCCCTCTCGCGGCGACGGCAGCGGCGAGGCAGAAACGCACGACGAGAGGTCGGCGGGAGAAGCCCGGGTCGAGGAGTTGCCGGTTGCGCAGCATCCCGCACAGCAGCATCATCAATCAGTGAGCAGCAGCACGCTGAGCGATGACGTCAGGATCACTCGTCAGCCGCTCGACCCCAATCGCCCTTCTCCCTCCGCTTCCGCATCTCCCTCCGCTTCCGCTTACCTGCCGTCTTCCGACGAGCCGAAGAAGGTCGCCGCTCGCATCGCCTTCTTCAAGCAGGTTGACGCCGGCGGCCGATCGGACGCCGCCGTCGCCGCGTCGACGAAGCGCGTCTCGTCTGCATCGCCGACGAAACGCGGCGCGTCGGAGGAGCGGCCGTCGCCGCGGCGACTCGACATCCCCGATGATCGCTGCATCATCATCGACGAGCACACGCCGTCGCCGACGGTCGACTCGTCACCGATGCTGATGCGGCCGTTGTCGGGCGCGCCGCTGTGGGGCGTGGCCTCGCAGCGCGCCGGCGACGGCCTGCGACCCTCACAGAAGGTGGAGCTGGCGACGGGCGGCGCGAGGCAGGCGCCCGCGATCCCCGTCCTGAGACCGGTCGACGTTGACGCGTCGCACAGCTGGGCGAAGACGGAGCCGAAGCCGACGTCGCCTGCCACGAGGGAGGCGATACCCAGGTGGCAGGGCGGCGCGTCGTCGCACGCAAAGTCGGCGCTGCCGCGGTGGCTGCATCAGAGCAAGTCGCCGACGGGGGAGACGTCGCCGAAGATTCCCGCAAGCTCGTACGTCGCGGGGAAGGCGTCGGTCGCCGCGGAGACCCCTGCAAAGGTTGCGTCGGCGGAGCCTGAGGGTGCTGCGCAGCCGGCCGTTGAGACGCCGCCGGCGACCGTCGACAGGCTGCCGAAATGGTCGCATCGAGTCAAGCAGTATTCTGGTACGTAGAAGTTTGTCGGCGATGGATGCACTTATGTTTAACAGTAAGCCATTGTCTGTGTTCTACATATTATGTCATATATCAGGATGAATGATCTAATTCATTCTGGAAAATCAAGGAGATGTATGTATATATGTATGTAGGTATATAATATATATATATATGTAAATGATTGGTAAATATCCAGCTGGCAGTATTATTGTAATTTTGTATTGGGTAAGATTTCCTACGTTTCCTACTAGTACAGTGTCGCTTCTTTAGCCATTAAATGTTTGTGAGCACTAAGCTATGTAAATGAGTGAAATTTGTTGGTTTGCAAATAAGTGAATGTTGCCTCTAATTACTCACTCATATGGTTTCAGTGTTTATTTTTAAGGATAATTTCTGAACTGACATTGATATAACTGTTCCGTATCCAATAGGTTCCTCAAAGCTGATGCAAGATCTGAAGAAGTTGGAAGAGGAAACGTCATCTATTAACTTGCCGAAGGTCTATCGCAGACAGTCAAAGCATGATGGGTGAATTTCATGCCGAAACCTTCTCACTAGTTTACGTCTGCAGTAAGAACGGATGTGAGCCGTCGCAGGGCTAGTTTGCACACGAACCCATGCACACCTACCAAAAGGTATTTTCAAGCACTCTGCCATCGTGGAGAGTGATAGTATTCAGCTGCTGTGGTCTCTAGGCGAGGTAACCTATGGTTATCGCTGATCTCTGCTACATCACGTGTGTCGTGTGCTGTCCCCTCGCCTTCTTGTTGCACATCATCTGCCCTTGTGCGCGTCCCGTTGATGAGTGTTGTTGTGTCATTGTAATCTCTTGCCTACTCGCCTTCCAATTTAATTTGATCTGATTGTACACTATCTTTAACAAGTGTATATGGAAGGGTGCGTGCACTGTAATGGCTCCTTAGCTAATGTATATGCAAGCAACGCTTACCAGCTGCTTTCATTATATAGTAACCACTCGATTCGTCTTTGAATCAAAAACGTTGTTCCGTTGATGCTGGAACATCTATGTGGCTGTGGGTGTGCGAATCCGGATTTCACGTGCCACGGGCTGCTGGCATAATATCAGTGACTCGTATATGCATAATAGAAATGCAGTTGTATTAATTGTGAATATGTGTGTATGCGAATAGTCAAAACTACACCAAACTGAACCGAGAATAAGTATGTTTTCGGCAAAGATGTGCTATCTGTCATGACTTTCTACGTGGGTGTTCACACCTATCTGTGTTCCTTCACAATTTTAAAAATGTTTCTCCTCATTTTAGCATTGTTTTAATTAAAGGTGTGCATAGCGGTCAATTCTGCCCGTTGTACTATGAGGTGCAGTACCGACCATAAGTATGGGTCTGGTGTAAAAAAAGATTTTAAAGAATTGATATGATGGTGAATTGACGTGTAAATTTGATAAATTACGATATATGTAGAACATTTATAAAACATTTTTAGCTTTTATCAATTCATGCAGCACTTCAATTTCCCATCAAAAGAGGAAACATTAAATTAAATGTGTTGGAGTTACTGACTATAATGTGTAACCCATCTGCATGGGTTTCGTGTTCTTCTATGTCACAGTTTGCTGCAGTACTGTGTGACGTTTTAGACTTGATGTCGTTCTGATATTTTTGCTGCTGGTTTGCTGACCTCTTGTAGCTTGCCCGACATCTCTTCATATGCAGCAAACATAATTTAAATTGAAAACCCTTGTTAATGGTGGTTTCATTCAACAACTTATATATTATGGCAATATATAGCTAACGACATTATGTTGTTGTTTTAATATATATCCGTTGATAGTTGAACGGATAGCTCGCTCGGTATGCCTCAGATAAGGATGCTATTATTAAGTGCCTGAAAAGCTACAAGTACTGAATCTCGCGTTTACAGGTGACTGAACATTCTGTGCAGAATCATCAGTGGTATATCTTTTTCACTATTTTTATTCTTCTATATGCTCTCAGCCAACCTTGCATAATAAATAATAGTGAGTAGCTTCACTGGGCACGTGATTCTAGAGACCATTCTGGGAGGATATTTCTCGATTTTACCCTTTTGTTTGAAATTTGTAACAGTCGGGGCTTTGTGGCGATGTGTAAGGGCCACTCGTTTGGCAGTAACGGTACGGTAATTTATGTCATATCTTGTGCCAAAATTAACGACAACGGTGAAATTATGGGCTGTAAAAGTTTTCCATCAAGGTTCCTATTAACAAGTTGACCTTGATGTGGCGTCCTCGGAGTAGATGGGCGGAGACGCGTGTCAATTAATTTGGAGACTCATTCTGAATCTATAGAGTAGAACATTCTTACTCGGTGTGAGCAAAGAAATCATAGATCTGCCTGCGCGTTGTTAAGAAACTACCATCCCGTCAGTTTGCTTCGTGCGTGTGCTTCCTTGTCAGTAAAAGTAAACATGCACAGCAGCTTTGTGCGTGATGTCATTTGTAAATTATTTATTAGTGTGTCTTTACAGTATCCGTTTTAGTGTCTGGTTCGCCTCCATATGTGACGTGGTGGTAGCAGAAGTAATCACTAGCAGAACGCGCCCCCTATAGAACTGGCTTAAGCCTACCTAGTCATCTGTATTCCTCAAGTTGTTTCCATGTTTATGTTTAGATTAAGATCGTATTATCCATGTTGTTGTAATATGGTACGTTTCAAATTTATATATTATAAACATGTACATAGCTACATACGTGAACACGTTGCAGAGATGAAATTTACGTGATTTTGGTGTTGCAGTCGGCTAACAGTTATTCGAGTAATCATGAGGAGATGGTTTGACCTATGGTTGTGATGCGGCAGAAAGATATGTCGCCAATAATGTTCTCTGATACACAACGTATGAGATATAACGGCTATATGTACTGTAAACAAAGTTCGTGAACGAATACGGAGAGGAAACGGAAGTAGCACGCGTCGGGAAGTAGCGGCTTATAAATAGCATTAGTAAACGTGTGGAAGGGTTTTTGTATTATATATACCAAGCGTTACCACGTGTTTGTTTGCGTCTCGGCAAGGTGACATCCTCTAGTCAATGTGGACTGTTAAGCTAAGCTGTAGACCTGCTGTTATCAATCGTCTTTGCGTGCGTGCTTGAGAGAGAAGTTGAGAATATTTTATCGTGAGTATATGGGGGGTAGGGGGCATGTTCTCATGTATGTACATCTTTAGTTATTCTGTGGCATGCCCTCGTGTCCCTCCTGTGTGTACTGCATTACTTCTTTAATTGATGAAGTTGCCAGTGAGATTTCTTTAAATAATTCATTATTCCTACTAATCCGTATAACTAACGCGACGCTTATATTTTGCTCATTCAGTAGAACAGTAGCGTTTCGGTGAGGCTGAAGGAGGGATTCAGCACTTGTGATGCTCTGGCGCTCGCCTTTGCGTGCTTAGTCTCGGAACTGAATCTGCTCATTTTTTGCAATACCTATTGTGTTTCTAAACGTGCATGTACTTTTGCTTTGTTTGTCTTGCATATATATTATATACATATACATATGTGCGTACATACTGTGGCGATGACTGTTACCTGATGTTACTCGTTAGGAATCTCCAGTTTCTCGAACGTATCAGTTCGTTTGATAAGTGTAATGCGTGAGTTTGGCCTATTGATTCGAGTGTGTACAGTGTGAGGATTTGCGTGTTATATTAATGTACACGTTATACAGAAATTACGTCTAACACATTTGGTTTCTTCTATTAGCCTTGTTTTTTAATCGTGGCGAAAACTGTTTTGTCTGTCCTGCTTTACTGGTAGTGTTTTGCTGACTTTCCGATATTAGAAATATTCGGAACGGCTAGCAAGTGTCTTCTTGTAAATTCATTACTCGTGGGGAAATATCCATTATTGATATTATTATATGCATGATGTGGCGTTAGGTTGTAGACATTAATTAAAGCATTTAGCACTGCACAGCGCATCTGTACAAATAAAGACCATGCATTTTACACGGCAAACTATTTTATTTATCGCGATAGCCATTTGACGTGTTGTAAACTATGTTGTCTCTATTTTTGTCTATTATTATTGTACTCCGTTTACGAGCGGTTTAGTTCACCTAAGCTGTATGTATACGTTTATCTACTTCGATTGCCAGCTGCTGTTATACTGCTTCATCATGTTATCATGTAAGGCCACATGGCTGTTCCTATGAATTTACCTGCTAAATGTGTTCTTCCCCCCCCCTTCTCTCTCTCTCTCTCTCTCGTTTTCTCTTCTCTCTCTCTCTCTCTCTCTCTCTCTCTCTCTCTCTCTCTCTCTCTCTCTTTCTCTCTCTTTCTCTCTCTCTCTAGTCTACGCACAATATAAAAGATATCGCATTCGAAGTCCACTATAGTCTAAAGATCTGTGAGGTATGGCCGCGAGGTTCGTTGTAAGATCTGGTTATAAAAAGGCTCACGAAAAAGCTTGCAAGGACCAAACGACAAACAAGAGCCCTACCAAAGGCGACCGGCGTTAAATCCATCCGTTGTGTAAGGTTAGCCCGATTTCGTTTTCCATATATGTCTGTGTAATGTAATCAACGTTGGCTTCTTATTAACTTAACTGTACGATATGATTTTATTCGTCTTTTTTTACACAGCTGGCATATCAATATTCATTGTGTAACCGAATAAAGAGACATGAAATAGATATAGAGGAGTTGTGGTTTTCTGTTTCGTGTGATTGACGTTGAATTCTGGTCATGGTTAATAATTCTAGTAAATAATTGATTCTCTCTAAGAAATAAGTACATGATACGACTAATCGTCATCTTTTCGGCATACGCTGTTACCCCTCTACTACTTTAAATGTCTATTCGTTTTCAAGCATGTCTATTATAAGGCTCACATGATATTGGATATTTAATCGACAAATTCGCCACGTTCAAATTATACAATTTTGATTACCAGTGAAAACTGGATTAACCTAATTCTTGGGCGTCGGAGAGCCACCATAATTCTGAAAACAAAATGATTGGAAATGTTAGATGTTTAGTTCATATAAGATTAAAGTCGACTTCTATCACAATATCCCGTTAAACCTCAAATAACAACTTCGCTATATTGCTGTGATGCCGCTGAAGTGATAGTTTCAGTTTATTAACCGTTACTGTACATTCGAACCATTTAAAAAACAATTATTACTGATCCTCGTAGTCTGAAATATTGTCACTGAATCATACATTAGTCAAATTTGTTGTAAAATAACTACAATATACATACGCGATTTCACTTCGCGGGGATCTTTTACGATCTCCATTTCACGATATTTGCTGGTGGAATTCCAATGGGCTTTTTCCGGTTGTCAACCAACTGGCTAAAATGATAGCCGCACGTGGCCTTTCCCAGCGACGCAAACGGTGCAAGAGTATTTACCTTAAACATAACATAATTATATAGGCGGTAGATGATAACGAAATGCCTAGTTGACTTAATCGTAAAGCCGGTAATGTAACTATCTCTGACACATCGTTGTCTTTACTTACGTTATATTTTCGTTCCTACTTGATATGAGTATAATAATAATTTCGTATGATCTCCGATATTATTTAATTGTATTATTTAATTTATATAGATATATGTGCGTGTGCGCGCATGCGTGCGTGCATGGGTGCGCATACGTGCGTGCGTGTGTGCGCATGCACGCGTGCGTGAGTGCGTGTGTGCGCATGCACGCGTGCGTGAGTGCGCGTATGTTTGTGTGCTTTCGCATGTATTTGTGTGCGTGGCACCCATCCAATTCAAATAAAAACTACAAACACGCGCACACGCACGCACGCACGCACACACACACACACACACACACACACACACACACACACACACACACACACACACACACAATTTTCGTTATATTACAACTGGAGCACGTTTCTCACGCAATTTACGCTCGAAACATTAATAATAATGATTAATAATAATGATGTAATTATATATATATATATATACGCCTAGAGAGAACCCGAAACACATACGTCGGGTATTGTAATGGTTTGTATGTGTTGTAATCATCTGATCACGTCATGTATATGTAAACATCATATATCATCATATCTTGTAATGTCATACGTTTATAAAATTTGTCTAATCGTAATGTGTTGTATTGATTTATAATGTCATGTCATGTATAGTAATATAATATAACGTCGTGTATTGTACGTAGTACAACGTTGTGTATTGTGATAGATTGTGTGTGCTGTTGTCATCAGATCACGTCATGTGTTGCTAATATCATTCAATATCGTGTCTTGGAATGTAATAATTTATGTACTGTAACTAATGTGTATGGCTGACTCGATGACCGCAAGGTCTTTTCGCCATACCTGTGCATATAATAACAAAGTTATAACTGTTTAATTTTCTCACTGTCTGATTTATCCGTTTAGCACAAATAAAAATCTTGAAATCTTGAAACGGGCATTACACAGAATAATAAATGTAGTACAAATATATATATATATATACACTGTATTAAAATGTAATAAAACAATGACACGTTTCTCACGTTGTATACGCCTCCTGCGGTCGGCACTGTCGAGCGTTGCTGCGGGCTAAGATGGCGGGAAAACTGCGCACATCTGCTCTCTGCATAGTACGCAATATCGTAATCAATATTTGCAATAAGCTTTATTATGGGGCATACACACGTCCGGCAGAACGTTATATCTTTTATATCAATGGTGCGTATTTACGCTAACGAAGCGTCTGTCATGCACGATTGTAACAACTGATGGTAATTTTATATGCATCGTCCGTTTACTTATCCGTTCCTTGTAAAATTAAGTTTTTTCTCATTGTTAAAAATTTAGCTCGTTATATTAGGCCGTTGTGATTATTTTCATTAGTTCCGTTTTCCTGTGATGTAACATGGTGTGCACTACTGACGCTATTAATTCTAAAGAAAATCTTCGATAACTCTGCAACGGCCGACATCCATTCTTTTATAAATTCAAAGTCGGTACTAAAGTAATAAATAATAAAACATTCGAATCTTACCAATTTCGTTGCATATCCTGAATGTTTTTATCCTACAGCAAGCATTTTGCGGCAACCATACTGTTTTAAAGTTTCTTTTACAGTTATCACATTTATGAGGGGCAACGCGAATTACGATAGCCATATTGCATTATGTTAAAAAAGCATCAAGGTCTAGCAGACAGGTCTAGCGTGGTGCGGTATCTGTTGCTATGGGGTTCAAACGTCATCGAATTATTGATGTGACGTGGCGCTGGTTTCCATGACGATCAATCGATTTACTTCTACGCCGACGTTAATTGTACTATTATTGTCATGGGATATAAATAAAATCTATCAACAAGGACGATTTCAATCATTATCCTGCATCCGCATGTTTCTAAAGAGGCGTATCCTCACACAATACACCGGTCGCCGGTGAATTGCAAAACTGATTGCATATATGATACAAATACAAATTTACAGCCCAATAGGCCGGGCCGGCCTACCTATATAGACGTACACAAAGACTAAACCAATAATTGAGACACTAGTGCCGGACTATCGGCAAATCGACGTTCTATAGTCTATTTTATTAGTCAGTAGGCCTAGTATAATTTGTTCTATTGTAGGCCTATACCTGTGTCGGGACTTATTTTGGCAGGCATAGTCGAGCTAAGTATAAAGTCCGGGGGAGGAGACATTATACTTACACCGTTACACGGCTAACACTTATATTCGAGAATGGTTAATTTTTACAAAAAGTTCGGATACGTGAAAGATTATAAAATAATTGTTTTGCCATGCCACCTCAAAAATCGAGATGATGGTACTAGCTGGTACCGTTTTTCTCGATCGGTATATTACGAAATAATTTTTTAAATGGTTATTCTGAGTAATGTTATTTTTAACATACGTCGAAAATCCAAGGAAAATCCATATTAATAAAAACTTTTTAGGGAAAACGGGAGCGACATAATTATCAGCCAGAAAATGCATTTTTATCAAATTTATCAAGCAAATTATCCTTGACATAAAAAGCGGGTATATCGTAAAAACGAAAACTTTGATTTGGAATTGGCAGAATTTAATTGGTTATATTCTCTTTGAACAAGGGGAGTGAAAATGCGACGTACACCATTTTTTCCATAGAGTGCACCCCACCAGAGTCGAGGCACAACCCTTGTATGGGTTATGCTTATGGGTAGATCAATAAAACACGGGCGATAGAATCGCGATCCTCGCTTGCACGCGCGAATATATTCGGTCAGTCATGTTGAGCCGCTGCACATGAGCGGTGTTCCAATGACGATTACTGATAGTATAGATATATACAACACATTGTGTTGTATATATCTATGCTGATAGTAAGGTTATTTAAAACTAAAAGGCAGTCGAATATATATATATATATCCACATAAAATCTTCAACATTGAGGTGCGTTACTAGTAGGCCTAATTAACGCTCATATAAGGTCTATGAGCCTAATTAACTTATCTATTTTTCAGTTACATATATTTTCTTTTTATTACATATAACTAATGATTGAAAGCACGTAAATTTAATAATGAGTAACAAATTTACGTATTGGAACCGTAACTCTGAATTTTACGAAATGAAAGTTTACCTAATTATATAAAAAAAAACATGCTATACGATTAGTTTATTATGTTTACTATAATTATTTACAAACATCACGGACAAAAATAAATCTACGTCAGAATTGTAAAACGTAATAGATACGCATCTCAAAGAAATATCTTACGTGACACTCGTAGTTAAAAATCCAAATTCGACAAAAGATTTCCAGAAAGAAGAACATGTGACAAATTTATTATCATCTACAACTTACAATCAATTCCATACATGCGATGACGTCCGTTAAAAGCCAGCAGCAATATACTCACGCATCGTATGCTACACTGTACCACCCATTCAAAAAAATGTTGGTAATAATAATACGTGTGGCCAATTGCACCGATACCTTGTTAGCATAGGAATTAACTAAAGCTACCAGGACATTTGCTTTTGTTTAACCATACATAAATAATGTTGAACCAGCTTAGGTTTGCGAATGAACTTTGTACTACATGGTCAACCGATGCTGATGAACTCGCGACCTATGATTTTACGGAAATGAAGCTTTATTTGATTTCGCGTTGTAGGAGCACGGTCGCGTTTGCACTCATGGTTTCTTGACGAACACATCGTCGATGTGTTGAGCTAACTGAACTTCAACAGTTCATATATCCTCACTTCCGCTAACAATGAACTCAAAGGTGAATAAAAACAATTTGTGTTTATTTACCTCTAATAATATGGATCAACACTGAGTATAAACCATAAATACACAGGAACAAGTAATAAATTACTTGACAAGAATTCTTGGTGCATGTATGATTCTCGCATTATTTCATGCGTATACTTCTTATGCGTATCACTGACGTGTTTATAATTACTGGAATATGGTTGTGCACTATAAATAAAGTAGCAAAATAAATTTGGGTTATTGTCAGTTACAGAGAGTAAAATAATGGCCGTGAATGTTTATAATAATTGGATAGCATAATCACGTTTCGTTGCCAAGTTAAATGGTCAAAATGGCTAGTTTGGCTTACATAAAAAGCTATGTAGAGTGTGTATTTTTAGTTCAACATTGCGCTTTCTTGTCACATGTTTACAATGTTCTGTCTGGCAAATGTGATGTTCATTACAAATTGCCTTTTCCAATTAACGCCCTGCTAATAGCAATTAAACGGGAAACTAAACAACTTTCTCTCATCCGAACACCTTTAACAAAATCACCCGCAAACATATTAAATGAAAATACGTCTAGAGAGCTTATACGTGCGCGTTGTCTTAATCACCTGGCTAAAGAATGTGTGTAATTAATGTATAATAAACTAAAAAAATAACATGAGCGCATTATGAACGCTACTACAGTATTACTACTGAATTACCACAGTATTTCTACATTTTAACGACACTTCAGTTATTCAACTAAAGATTAACAAGCTCTACACATGGGAATATGTTTGGTATAAGGTAATTACGCGTAACATATAATCAGAAGTGAATAATAATATATCTATTATTATTCCCTCCTGATATAATAGCCTTCCATATGACTTTATCTATCTAACAACAAACAGAAAAAACATTTACAAGAGGTGGCACATCTAGATGCCCACATCCACATCTCCTTTCGTTTGGTCATATAGACATTTTGGAAAACTAGCAAGGAAGAACCAAATAATCATATATCCCTACTGCGGTTCAGCGTTATGATATGGCGTCAAAACCGTTCGTTGTGCCGAGCCTTGTTTTCATACTTTGCGTATTTAGAACGTTGCCATTACATGTGATTACATGCGATTGTCAGCACACAAAAATACACATGCACACATGTACGCACGCACGCACGTACCCATGCACGTATAGTGTATGTATACGGACGTATTTATCAAAATGAAACCTTTACACACAATACTTCTATGTCCACGTAACTAGTCCGCGTGCGCCAACCCGCACAGCAATATATATGTCGTAAAAAGGTTGGTTCGTATCGCATCATCAGTACAACAAACACTACTACATGCTCGATAAAAATCGTACCAAATTCAATAATGCTATGAATAAAAACATGAACCTACGTATATTGCATATTTATATCTTTTTCACGATATACACAGGTCTTTGGTAGAAGATTACGCCATCCCTAAAAGCATACTTTAACAATTTTTGAAAACGTTATCTTGACACTAGAATAACTTGTACCCAATATTTTATCATAATCAATTTTATGCGTATTTCCCCCATTTTATAAAGTCGCCGATGTTCTTTAGATAATAAAGTATTTAGTAATTCCTTATCCTTTTTGCACGTCAATATAAAAACGACTTATTATGAATTAAAAAAAAAAATTACAAATGGTATGCGTGCCAATAATGAACAATAAATAAGTTAAAACCCCAGAAACTGATTTAAATATGCTACACTCGTAATAGCAGAAATAAAATTATAACTGCATATGAGATGTCCACATTATCGGTATCACCAAGGCCGTACATATTATAAGTTTAATAGGCTAATCAATACACATCGGGAGGCCTAAATACCGCATTATTCAAACACCAGGAATCAACACTACCTAAATCTCAGAATGACAGAATTTTGGGACAATGCGGTGGTACATTAGATCTTACAACCCCACGGAGCAAGCATGTAATTATTTTTCATGAGCAGCTCCGGCTTATCACCTCAAATTATACCTGTCTCACAATAAAAAAAAACAAATATCTCCCAGGATATATATATATATATATATATATATGCCAAGATAGATGCACGTACCCCTGCACGTCAACCAACCGGGTATGGACAAGCGTCATATGTCCACGCATTACACAGGAATAAAACCTACTACCCGGTGTCGTATGATGTCAGAATACATGCGTTTTCTGGAATCGATATTGGTGCCGAAAAAACGCTCGACGCTAGTGCACCACGCTCTCTAAAACTGATCACTCTGCCCTGACGGCGTGTCACACAACGGTCTGGTGGGATGACGTACTCACAACCGTATCTACTTGTGGCGCGGGCCTGTAGTGTACCATAGTTAAATCATTGTGGGAGGTTTTTGCGTGTGTCTGCGCATTGTTCGTCATCATCACTTTCGCTTTCACTTCGGCTCTCGCTATTTTGGCCCGCTTCCGCTGCCGCCGGTAGCATATGAGCGCCGTCAATACGATGAGCATTAATAACCCGGCCGTCACACTGCCGATGATCACGAAGATGTTGTTGTCCGCTTGTAAGAAACCTACGAGCCGACAAGAAAGGAAAACAACAACAAGAGTACAATTAAATTCTTTCTTTGCTATCGCTTGAACAGAAAGAGGAAGCGCGCAATAATGACCATCGCTCATGTTGACTTTTTTCCTGCGATAGGTTAGGTATATAATCATAGACTCGTGCTCATATATAACCTAGGTTAACGTCGAGATTAAGTGAAGGAATATAGTTACGTCATGGCCCAATTTACCGAAACCAGCCAGCTCGATGCTAGCTAGGGACGCATCTGATCGGGGCGCTGCCACAGCATCGCGTAGCCTAGCATTGGTTAAATGAATATGTATCCCTAGTGACACTCTACTCCCGAAATCATTTTATTGCGTCATTTTTATACGCGTTTCATTACACCCCTGCCTCATATACATATATATATATATATATATAATATATGTATAAACACACATGCACGCACG